TTTTTTCATGAAAAAAATCACGAGGCACACCACCATTAGAAAATGTTAAAAAAATTTAACTCTGTGCCTATATTGACTATATACCACGGCACACCTTACACTATGCCGCGGCACACTAGTGTGCCGTGACATAGTGTAAGGTGTGCCGTGGTATATAGTCAATATAGGCACAGAGTTAAATTTTTTTAACATTTTCTAATGGTGGTGTGCCTCGTGATTTTTTTCATGAAAAAAGTGTGCCTTTGCACAAAAAAGGTTGAAAAACACTGCTCTACATGACTATGAATGGCTTCTCTTTTCACCTCCACCCACACTTTATCTGCCCCCAAGGGACTAGGAACATTTTTCTCCCCAACTGGTTCAACTGCGGGTTCCAGAGGATGCTCACCAGGGCCCCTTCTAGGCAGGTGGCGTAGTGATATCCCCGGCCCATAATGAGGACGGACTTCTGGTGGTAGAGCTCGGTGGCCAATTTCTGGATCTCATCGTCCATGCTCAGCACTTCTTTGATCAGGCCTATAGAAAGGAACAAGAGGAGACCCTGCTTCCAAAGTGGACGTCTGACCCCAACCAAACCTTTGATAAGCTGCATCTTTAGAAAGTTGCAGTCAAAAACAGCCAGCAATGAGCACATAACGGGCAGAATCTGCAGCCCTGGTATCGGACCTCTGCTTTTTAAAGTGACGGGCGGGGATTGCTGTCTTCAATCTGCAATCCAAATGAGGGTGCAGATGGCCTTTCTCGGGGGGGCCCTACCCAAAGAGGGGGGACTCAGCAGAGAATGCTCATCCCTGAGATGGAATTTGTCAAACTTGCTACGGCCAACTTGCTGCGGAAAAAATTTAACTATTCAATTATTTTAAATTATTTTAATGTTTGTCATTCACATTTCATCTCGTCTCTCCTTGAGCATCCTTTCTTTCATGATTCTATCCAGTGGTGGGTTCCGGATCCCGTTCCAACTGGTACGGTTGGAACGGGCTTGGCATGGCCCACATGAATGCGCGCATGCATTGTAGCTGCCAGCGACACTTCCGCAAGCCTCTGCAACGCTTCAGCTGCTTGTTGGAGCGTCGCACAGGCGCTGTATGCATATGCACAAAAGTGCCGAAGGCTTTAAAGGACAGGTAAGGAACTTGGGCGGGTGGGCCCTCCAGAGCACCATAGGCAGGGGGTTGGACTAGAAGACCTCCAAGGTCCCTTCCAACTCTATTATTCTATGTTTTATGTTCTACCTGCCCCAAAGACCTTTCCCCTCCCTTCACACACACCTTCCTGTGCTGAAGACACACTAGTCCGTTTGCCTGCCTGAAAAAGTGTTGCCACAAAACTCCCACATGCACTTATTTATTAAAATGTATGCGGCATCTCGCATAATTGACTCTGGGTGGCTTACAAGGCTCAGAGGAATAAAATTAAAATATTATTAAAATTGACCCTGTTGTCTGGGTGCGCCTTACCTGGCAGCAACTTGAGGCCTCGCATAATCTCTTTCCGCCGTTCTTGCATCGAAATTCTGTCATCACACATCATGAGCGCAAACATGATGAGGGAGACAAACTGGCTTGTGTAGGCCTGGAAAAGAGGGGAGGATAAGGGCCCCCTGTTAAGCAGAAGCCACAAATCCCTCAAAGTCAATTCATGGCATGCCTGAGATTGGAATTAGAAATGCCTGAAAGAAAGAAACTGTTATTATATTATTAGAGAAGGTAAAACCGATAGGAAGGCAATGGAGAATGGAGAAGTACAAATACAGAAGGCGGTATAATTACTTTATATTGTTATGTCTGTTTTGTTTTTTTCTTTTTCTGTTGTGTTTTTCCCCCCCGTTTTTCAAGATAAAACTGTTTAATAAAAACTATTTTTTTTTCAAAAAAAAAAAGAAATGCCTGAAAGAGCGTCCATCTTCTCCCCTTCTTCATCATCAGGAACAGAGCGACTGCACAGAGGTTTTTACAGAAATGGCTTGTCCGTATAATTACAAAAAAGCAAAAAGTTGTGATTTGATTTTAATGCCTTATTTTACTGTAACAGAGTTGGAAGTCAATGCTTCTTTTTTCTTTTTTTTTTCTCTTAGCCTTCCTCACTTCTTCTTTCCTTCCCTCCCTCCCTGCTTTTCTATTTACTTTGTATTTTGTATTTTCTAATACTTTATAATTCAATAAAAAAAATGTGGGCCGACTGAAAAAGAAAAGGAATGGAACAACTGTAAAGAGTGAACAGTTCATTTAAAAAAAAAATCCCGCCTCATCGCTTTTATAAATAACTGAAGGCGGTGTACATACCTCACTGATTTCAGCTATAATACAATAGCAGAGTAGACGGGACCTTGGAGGTCTTCTAGTCCAACCCCCTGCTTAGGCAGGAAACCCCATACCGTTTAAGACAGATGGTTATCCAACATCTTCTTAAAGACTTCCAGTGTTGGGGCATTCACAACTTCTGGAGGCAAATTCTGCTCCACTGATTCATTGTTCTCGTTGTGAGGAAATTTCTCCAAAGTTCTAAGTTGCTTCTCTCTTTGATTAGTTTCCACCCATTGCTTCTTGTTCTACCCTTAGGTGCTTTGGAGAATAGTTTGACTCCCTCTTCTTTGTGGCTGATATATTGGGAGACTGCTATCATGTCTCCCCTGATCCTTCTTTTCATTAAACTAGACACACCCAGTTCCTGCAACCGTTCTTCATATGTTTTAGTTTCCAGTCCCCTAATCATCTTTGTTGCTCTTCTCTGCACTTTCTAGAGCAGCGATGGTGAACCTTTTTTGGATCATGTGCCATAAGCGGGGGGAGCACAAGGGGGTCATGTGCAGGTGTGCTGCACCCATAATGCGATGTGAGACACCCCTCAGTGCACATGCAAGCATGACAGCTGCAACATCCCATTTTTTTCATGCTGACCCCAACCTTCCCCCAAGTCCCCAGAAAACCAAATTCCAATCCCCTTTTTTGAGCTGGGAGACACACAAATGTACAGTAATCCAAAATAGATTTAGCCTAATTTAAAACAAACATTTAAAACAAAAACAGCAGGCCAAAACTCTGTCAAATGGCCCACTGCAATCTTCTCTCCTCCTTTCCAAGCCCTATTTTGTGTATCTCTGCTTTTCAGGCCCTGTTGGCAGCAGATTTGGACAGTGGGGAGGTTGGGGAGGAACCTGGGCCAGTCCTGGAGTCTGGGGAAGGCTCTGACGAGGGCTCTGTGTCGGAGGCAGAGAGGGGGCCGGGGCCGTCTGCCAGTTATCAGCTGCCTTCAGAGTCAGACATCTGTGGGGCAGAAGAACAGCTGGAGCCTGCTTCCAGGCTCTGCACACATGCGCAGAGTTGTCAGACGAAGGGAACAGCTAAAGAACAAGGGTCGACTTGGGAGTAAGGCCACAGGTGAACGATGAATGGCCCCTCCCAAAGTAAAGAAAAGAGGAGCCAAAGGGAAGTGGAGTTTGCAGGAGACCATTAGTTTGCTTCATTGGTTCATGACTCTCNAGCCCTCAGGAGCACTCTACAAGCCTCCCAAACCCTCTGCATGTCCATTTTTTTGAAGGGGGTGGGGACTCGGGAGGCCAAAAATGCTGTATTCAGTGTATGAGAAGCACCCAGATTTTCACCCTCTTTTTTGGGGAGAAAGGTGTGTCTTATACTCTGAAAAATAGATATTTATTTGCGTATCATTCATTCCATCCACACTCTGGTAAATTAACCCTCTCATAGCAGCTCTTTCCCGTTTCCATAGTTCCAGGGTTCCACAAAACACCCCTGATGGCTACACATCACCCAGCTCTGTATAATCCCCCCTCCCATTTCCCCACAGTAGAAAGTTGTGGCAGGCCTGAAATCCAAAAAGAATATGGCTTGCAGGCCTGAGCTTGGCACTAGCAAAACACCAGCACTAGTGAAAGACATAAAAAGGACACAAGGCTTCGGCTACATAGTTGTGGGTGTTATTTTGATTGCACACACACACACACACTATGCGTGCATCATCAAGAAAAAGCTGCAGTCCCACCCAATAGCAGGACAGGCCTTTTCCTGCTGCAGAGCATTGCTAATTGTTCAGAAACTTGGAAACGCTACTGGAGCTCAGCTACTCACAGCGACGGCTGCATGGTAGCTCGTCCCACAAGCGATGAGGATCAGACGGCGGCACCGCTGGATTTCCTTGATGTGGTCTTTCAAACCCCCAAGGTTCACTGGGGGAAAAAAAAAGGCAAAGGCTTGGAGAAAACAGCCCAGAGAAGAGAGAGCAGGGCAGCATCGGTGTAAAAGGATCCTGCAGATTTCTTTAGCAACTCTTACAAAAGGAGGCTCACCCCAAAGAGAGTATATAGCCTTGATTGATGTGGGACTCAAGAAATGTAGCCTATGGATCTATTAGATTCAATAAGTCCTATGGATAACAGAAAGCCCCAGAAGAAAAGAGACGAACCAAAGTTTTCAGCTAGGGTGATTTCAAAATTTACCGGAAATATTTGTAATCCTGCTGAGCCGTTGCTAACTGTGAAATATGCATCAGGCGTGCCTCATTCAAAATTCAAGAAAGTAAACCCCAAACTCCATTTAATTAGAGAAAAGGTAATTTTGCTGGACATGAAAACAGCGAAAGTGAAGCAAGGTCTGAAGCAAAAAAGTGCCAACTTGTATATATCAAACGTTTACCCAAATCCCTCCCCCCTAGTTACCCCCACCCAACGTGCAATCTCCAACCCCCAAGGATGTCATGTGGGGTGCATCTTCAGGTAGCCTCATTCAGCTGGTATGCAGAGACGGTTGGCCTTGACCAAACCCAAGGCATGCGCAGAAGATTGTGAGAACAAAACTCCCTTTGTGATATCTCCACCAGCACCTATTCCCCTCCCAAATACCATGAGCCCCCACCTTCCCCGTTACTATGACAGCCGATAGCAAACATGCAAAGTTAGAGGTGCCAACTGTGAAATATAGGTTTTTTTTTTGGAAAATATATACTTGCATGGATTCGTTCAAAACAGGAACAATGACACTGTTGGAAATGAGGAATTGAATGTAATATACACAGATGTAATGAAGTTGTGAAGCTGGGGAATTCTGGGAGTTGAAGTCCACAAGTCTTAAAGTTCCCAAGGTTGGAGACCATTGACTAACGATGAGGAACTCTGGGAGTTGAAGTCCACAAGTCTTAAAGTTCCCAAGTTTAGACACCTCTGGGTTAGAGGAACAGTATAAAGATTCAAGATCAGCTCAGGGCCCTTTGATTTATAGCAGTCCATGTAGGATCTGCTGTGAACCATTGGCCCATTGCAATGACTTTAATGCAAGTATATTACCACTATTGTATCTTTTATATCTATTCATTTTTAATGTTCCGAATTATTAGAAACAAATAAACCTCTGATCTTAAAGTAAGGATTATTGCTTGCATTGTTGCCTTTGCTTCCTACTGGAATTTTCCTGTGACATTGTCATTGTACATCACATATACAACAAAATTGGCTTTAGCTTCACTGGTGCAATCCATGACAAGAAATACAAACAACATAAATAGTATAACCGATAATCCCAATGCAAGCAATTAGGAGAAAAAAGAAAAAGAAAAACTAGTCATACATTTCCATGTGTGCGTGGAGTGATTGAGGTTGTGTTTTAGA